TCAATACAATACAAAACATCAAACAGGCCCTCTCCATTGCAGTTCCCAGGTCTTCCCATGTACAGTGATACCCGAAACAATACTTGCAGCTCCCCAAGTTCAGTGCTGTTGGGGAGTCACCAAAAATGTTTAATTCTTCCTCTTGTCTCTCCCTATAAGGAGCAAGAAATGAATCCATTGCTGCTGCAGTTTGCTTTTTATTTCAGGCAGATAGAACCTCCCCAGGCAATTCCACCACCAATTCGAAGCTCTCCAGAGCTGCTCCCTCTCGGTCAGCGCAGCATGAGCTCCCCCCACCAGCCACAGAGAGAACAGCAGCCATCAGCCAGCCCACCAATGTACACGCTGCCTGAGATTCACAGCAAGACTGCGGCAAAGATCTTCTGCTGTTCTCCTCGATTTAACTCCACAATCATCTCCATAAAAGTCATTGGGCACTGCATATTTCACACTATACTAGCATATACCATGGCTAATGCACTTATGAGCCTATGATGGGAACTAGACCAAAGGTCACTTATGTTTAGTCAAGGGTGGCAGGCTTCTACTGTAAAACATCAAGTGTGAGAATGAGCTACTTATGTTTCTGGATATCACTATTAAAGCTGGGAAGATTTTCCAGTTATTCCGGCGATTATGACAGAGGAGCAATAGGTTATTAAGTATATCTGCTTTAAAACTATCAGAAGGACAAATACAGAGAACAAATGCTTTTTATTTTCTATAAGGAATCACTCTTTGATCATTAGGACATTATTAGTTTCCATTTTGTCCTGGAGTTTTATGAAGACTATACATGAATTTTCAAAGGATATTAAATCAGACTTTCAAAGATAGAGAACTGTACTGTTAGAGCCATTTTTGTGCTGTAACTAAACATGCACATTTGACTTAATTTAATTTAATATTTTATTAATAGTTCTAATAGAATTTTGAGTTATATTTTTGGTATCTGAATATTTTTATAGCTTTGTAAGAGTTAGGAACCTTAGTATGTAGTCGCCACGTGATGAGAGTCGATTGGCTGCTGAGTTTGTTGTAAAAGCACAAGGACACATGACGGCAGAAGCCTTGAGTCTAGAAGCATCACAGTCTTTTGTCCGTCACGTCACGTCACGTAAAGTATATTCCTATCAATTAGAAATTCATCTTTTGTTTTGTACAGTTTTAAGTTTATAGTAAAGATACAAACATCAGGAAAAGATGGGATTCAAGACCTTTTTATTTATTTTTTGAAATGTGTCGAGTGCAAAAGAACTTTGAGGTCCGAGGCCAGTGACTCTGCACGTTGCACTCACATGTACACTGGGAAGGAACGTGAAAATGCCTCATTTGTTATTTAAGAAAAAGAAATAAATATTTTAGTGTACATTCCTGATGAGATTAAAAAAATAGATAATACGGAAAAAAACCTTTTACATAGATACGTTATTTATCCTGTGCACTGCAATCTAATGATGACTCTCGGAACAAAATAGTGACTCCAATTAAGTTGGAATAGTATTAGAAGACTAAATATCACATTTTTAAATTCTGTTTTAATGTGGCACCCAGGGTCCATATCTCAAGTGTGATATTCCAACAAATGGTTCCCGCTGTTAGTCTGCTGTGGCCGCCCCTTAACCAGTCCATGGAAGTCAATTAAGCAAGAAAATCTTAAGTAGAAACCATGTTCATTGCTATTCAAATAGGCCATATTACTTTCATTTAATGGACTGTTGCAACCAGAATGATTAGCAATAAATTTTGACATGATGATCACTGCTTATCTGTCCATCTGAAAGTGTTTATTGAATGCTTAGTGTATAAAATACACTATAAAAACAGCAGATATGGTGAAACACCATTTAAAGGTGTATTCACTGTCACTGGTGGTTCTCTGCAAAGGCAAAGCCAACGTTTACAAAGGCTGAGGCCCTGACTCTACTACAGCTAGTTAATCATCGTCACTTACCGGCAAACTGGAGGCACTGGCTGAGGGAATTAAGCCCAGGTAAGACCGCATCTGTAACATTGCCATGAAAATTGTTGAAAACGTTTGAACTGAGATGGCAACCTTTCACATAGGGACTGACAGAGCTACTGCTTTGTAGTCAAGATGTCTAGTTACTTACGTCTGTGTGACAGCTACGTCTAAAGGAAATTGTTTCGAATTAACTTAATTTGAACATAAAAAGTAAAAGTAAACCAGACTGCCTGCCCCTCGTGGGTTTCATTCAAACATTTTCATATTTTTAAATGAAATAATGAAGACAACGCATGTTGCAAATGCATAGGTTCTATTTCATATTGTTTATGATTTGCTTATGATCTTGACATGATTTGAGTATTATACGCTTCCACAAGAGGGCAGTACTGTATTCTTAAATTTAGTTATTTTAGCAGTTCAATATAAGAATAATGACTCTTTTATTGATCCCATGGGGAAATCAATGGGCAGCCACCTGCAGCAGCACCCACAGAGCTGGGGGTTAGGGGCCCCTGTTTAAGGGCCCACAGAGCCCCTGTTCAAGGGCCCACAGACATGCGACCATTCTGCCGAAGCCCCTATGTCTACTGATGTTACATTTAGTACAGTTTTAAGGTGTGTGTGTGTGTGCGTGTATTACCAGGCATAATTAAAAGTGATTTAATTTTACTATTCTACAATTTAGAAAATATGCTAATTGGGACACCGAACAAATATCCCGAGGATTCTGTTAAATAAATATTATGGTCATGCTGTACTTTTTTTCTCATTTTGCGATATTAAATCTAAATGTCATAGCCAACCTGATTAGGTAAACAGTCACTGATGTAAAGTTGAATATCTGGGTTTTGACGTTGAAGTTTCTCTGCTACAGAGACTAGATACAAATTTTCAAACAAACCACAAATGTGTCTTCATAGCTACGAAACGATAGGGTGTGGGGTTGTACTGGTACTACTGCTGGTAAACTAGCATGTGGATTACCGACCCGTGTTACCGAGCAACCAAGCGACTCCTGCATCGCCCTGATCGTCTTGCATCCTGCTACTTCTCCTTCTCTCATCAGTAGCTCCTCCCTGATGACACAATCCCAGGACTCCTGGCTCCCAGCTCGCACAGCTGCCCGTGTCTCTTCTCTGCGCTGCCAGCAAATGACCGTAGTGTTTCATACTTTTGATGTGATCTGGGCTTTTAAGGTTGGGCTTCGTATTTGGACCAGAAATTTTTAAGACAGATCAAGCACCAAGCAAAAGCTTTCTTTTAAAACGTATAGTTTTTAAGTATGAAATCAATGTAAATGCCTCTATTGGCAGGGAGGGGAAGTGAGAACAGCATAATCTTTATAATATTTGCCCTCCACCCTTCAGCGTTTGCCTCAGCCGAATCGGCCCCTGTGCCTTTTGTGTGAAAATGAGAATCGTGTGTTGAGAAGAGGAGGCGCACAGTCGTACCAGACCGGCACTCTAACTGCCTGACATGCTGCGTAAGCACACTGGACCGGATCAGCCGCCTCAGCCCAGATATGAGAGCTATCGCTCGCTAAGGAACTCTGCAGGCTGCAGGGTGACTAACATGCAGTGCGGCAAAAACAGGAAACACTGTTTACTGTACGTGAGACTATGTTATAATTCCAGTAACAACTGATTATACCTGTAGTAATTCAGTAAACTCTAGGAAATTGGAAATTACTTTCAAACTACTAACACGGGCTGGGGGGAGGGAGCTGCTATGATCTCAGGGTCTATGTAGTTTGTGTCTTTTTTTCTGTGTTGCCCTGTAGGAGGAGAAAAGGCAGAACTTATAAATGAAAGGGGTGAGGTCTGTATCTGTCTGTGTCTTTTTTTAACAGGACATGAGAAAATTTAATATTAAATTACACCCATGTGGTCTGCATTTACTGCTGCCGTTATTTATATTCCAATTTATTCCTCTCTCCTTGCTACGTCTGTCTCCGTGTCTCGCTATCTGAATTTGAGTTGCGGTAATGTCCTAATTTCCATTCAATAGAAAATCAGCTCATCTAATCCCTTGCTCTTGCTCAGATGTTTACAGATCTGTCAGCTTGAAATGTCATTTAATATTTAGGATTAGCCTGAACTGAAAATAATGTCAGTGTTCAGGCTGGTGTCTGTCTGTTCATCTCCTCTGGGTTGGTTATTTTATGATGAGGAAACAGTCAAGATGGGGAAACGGCTGAACTGGATGCAATGCAACTAAACACAGTGTAATTCAGCAGTGTTCCTAGTCTGTAACTTTTTAATTACTGGAAACAAAAGTGAAGTGTAATATTTAAGTATCATGACAGATTGATTTTGAGAACTCGGCTTCTCAGTTCTGACAATTTGCAAACGTCTGCAGTTCAGATTCTGACCAGGTGAACATGCCCATTGTCTCAAAGCACATGTTTATTGGGAGATGATACTCTGAACATTTTAAGCAGCCATTTTGTCGGGCTGTAAGCATTTCTCTCACTGGGAGTGGCCTGCAGATAAGTCTGCAGCTCTGCACTGTCGCTATAGAAACTAAACACAGGGTTTGTTTTGGCCCTGGACGTGTAAGACACAAAACAGCTTCCGGATCTTTTTTTAAATACGTAATCTGTTTCACATAAGCACTGAAAGTTGATGCAGTTCCTTTCATTATGTTTGAAATAAAAGACAAAGCACTATGTGTATTTCAGGGCAATAAAATTATAGTCATCCTTTTTAAAAAGCGGCACAGCAGAACACAAGGGAAATTTAATGGTGGTACAGTGAGAGTTTATATTTTGTTGGTTGTGATAATGTATTACTGAAAATAACTGTAGGACTTTTTATGCTCCTCTATCAACACATTTTGCCATGCGATACTGCTAGTCTTCACCAAATAATATGTTTACTGAAGTTTATTTGAAACTGCCGATTCAGTGTGATGCCCGTTTAAGCCAAGGAATGGGTCACATTTTTATATAAATAATTACTTATTAGTAATGCAATTTTAACTCTACCATACCATTTGTGGTCTGAAGATACATAAAAATAAAACAGTGAAACATTATTCAACCTTTGCTTTTTAATGATTAGAAAGGAATCATTCACAATTAAACACATATCAGTTTGGCATTAAGCATATACAGTATGTGCACAAGAGTTTACCCAGAGTAAAATGGTTTTTGGTTAGCTGTCCTTCACAGTCTTTTCAGGCATCATTTAAAGATTTTACTGTGTTAAAAAATCATGTATTTTTCTTTGTAATACTTATACTTATTTATTTACTGCATATATAAGGATTATGGTTAATTGCATATGTGTTGTGTCTTTATTACAGCCTCTTTCATGTATCTCAAGTTCGCCACAGGTGATATACGAGTGTTTCAGCAGTAGTCAAAAATCACAATCTTTTTGTTCAGATCTCATTGCTCATAAGTTATAATTCAAAGTATATAAATAAAAGAAATAGAGAAGAAGTGCTTAATTAGATATATAGGGGGACAGCTTTTCTCTGTTCAGACTTGGGGTTTTGTTGCTGTGCAAGGGGAGGGTGATTTGATGCATGTAGGAGAAGTGAAGTCAGTCTTATAGGCTGCTAACTGTGATGTGTGGATGCCTTGAAGTTGGGGAGGTGTTAGGTGTTATAGTGAGGCTACTGGTGATTTTGCTGTCACCTTTGGTGACGGAGTTACCACTGAATATCCCTGAACTTCTATGTCTTTGCTCAGACACATAGCATGGATTTGTGGGATGAGAGGTGTTATTTATTGCCTGAATGTAAGAGTTTCCTAAATGGATGTGGATTTTGTTGTCCTCTGTGGTGATGACACTAGGGGCAGAACTGCTGGATCTCTCCAGCTGCCAATTTTGCCTCTCCTGGGCCAGACGGAACACAGCGTGGCTTCCCACCACTTCCACAAATTCTGTGGACTGGGGACGATCTGGAGATCCGGTTGTAACTGACACGATCTGAATGGGCGACAGTGCTCTCTCTGGCGTTAAGCAGACCGAAGACTCAGGGCTCATCACTCTTGAGAAAGCTGCCATGGAGACAGGTGATGTTGGTCTGTCAGGGGTGCACAACCCATCAGGAGAGGATGGAGTTTTGATTTTGGGAGGGGACACGTTAGCATTCTGAATGATGGTGATTTGTTGCTTAGGCGGGGCACCGCTTGTGGGTATCACAGCTGTGCTGGTGTAGGAGTGAGCATTTTCTGCACCAGGGCTGCTTATCTCCAACATGGCGGTGTTTAGCCCATGGTCGGGAGTCACTTTGATATGAAGGGGCTGCCCTGGGGCATGTCTCACCACCACATCCCCTTGTTGTACATAATTCCCATTCTGTCGAGTCATTGCCTTACTGCTTACTACTGGTTTTTGCCTTTCTTTAGTTATTGGGAAGGAGTGCCTCATGGTTTTGTTTAGGGTGCTTGCGTTGTTGACAAGAGAGGTTCTGCATTTGGTAAAGGGCAGCTTGCGGTAATTTGAGTCATCCTCCACGTCGCCTTCTGTGTACACCTTTCCATTCAGCACTGGTCGTTCCAGCAAAGGTAAACTTTTGTATTCCATAGGCTGGCTGCTTGATAGAGTTGTTTGTACTTCCTTTGAGGAGACCTGCAAGTCTGTGGAATGCCTGGCATTCAGTCCTGGCCGAAGGTTTTTGCCGATGTGTCGATATCTCTCCAGCTCTGCGGCGAGCTTCTCCATCTCTCTGGCTAACTCTTTGTTCTTCATCTCTTCCTGTGTCAGTTTCTTTTGTAGTATGGAGTGGTCTTTTTTCAAGCGACAAATGGACTCTTCTGTGCCAATGAATTCATTTAACTTTTCCTTCAGGACCTCCAGTTCTCTAATCAGGTGCCTGGACTTTGCTTCTTCCTCTTTCAAACACTTATACAGAAGGTCTTCTTGGTTGTCTTTTTTCTCAGCCATCTGATATTTAGACAGCTCATTTTTTGATATTTCTAACTCTTCCAGTAACTTTTTTGCCCGCTGCTGCTCATTATTGTATCTCTTTTGCAATGCTTGAAATTCATCCTCTGTCTTGAGCAGGCCGTCCTCAACCAACCTCATGTCTTTTATCTTTCGCTTGAGTCTTTCCACTTCCTGTGCCAGGTCCTTTACTTTGTTGTCTTCATGGTGGAACTGATTTGAAGACATTTTGATGTCCTCCTCTTTAGCTTTGTTTTTCAGGAATTCTCTCTCCACAACTTCCATTGATTGGAGCTTCTTCTTCATCATGTTGACTTTCATTTGAAGATCATTGCTTCTCTCCTCTTCTGCCTTTAGCTTTTCTTTAAGTTCTTCTCTATCCCTGGTCACATTCTGTATTTTCTCTTCAAGCCTAGCCTGGGGTGTTAAACCTCTTTTGTTCTCCCCAGTAAGCTTTTCAGTTACTCTTGTAACTCTGTCTTGTTCAGCCAGTACCTTGCCTGGACTCCTTTGAAGCTTTTCTTCCATTTGTTTAATTTTCTCTGCCATTGTCTTCCTCTCATCCACAAGAATTACTGTCAGCGCCTTCAGTTTTGTAAGGTCCTCTTTAAGAGTGTGCTCAGTCTTTTCCATTTGACTCTCCATAGCTTCTAACTCTTTTATCTTTGTCTTCAGCATGTCAAGTTCATCCGATAGATGTTTGCTCACACTCTTCTCTTTCTCCAGGTTGCTTCTCAGCATGCAGCACTCTTGTTTGCTCTTGCTGAATGCATCCTCCAGTTTCTCAAGCTCTATTATCCTGCAATTCAGTGTGTCCACCTCTGCTCTCAAACTCTGGCCTTTGGTTGATTCAATCTCCAGCGTTTCTGTAAGGTCCTGGCAGTGGTTCTCCAACTTGATCAACTCTTCATCTTTGCCCTCTATCTCCAAAACTCTATTTGTTAGTTCCTCTACTTCTGACATGAGGCTGGAGTTCCTGAAGTCACTGCGGCTGATTTTGTCTCGCAGATCTGGGCGTTCCTCCTCATCTCTGCGGAAGATCTTGTTTGTATTCTCCTGTTCATCTAGCTTCCGGCTCAGGGCAGAGAGCTTCTGCCGGAGTTGTCGGTTATGAGTGTCACTAGTGGTCAATTTAGCAGTCATTGCCTTATTCTTCTGATATAAGTGAGTGATTTGGTTGCGCAGCTTTCCTTCTGGACCTTGTATGGCTCCTTTTGTGACTTGTTTTAGGCAGAATGGAGCATTTACTGGGCCCGGGTACCAATCACAGTGAGCATAAGTTCAGTCTTCTACGTTAGTTACTTCATCAGGCACTTATCTGGAGCTTAGCCTCCCAGTTCTGTTTTCCATTGTGAATATTTTGAGCATTCAGAAATAAAAGCCTACAAGAAAACAAAAATATTTAATATTAATATTTATAGTCAAATTAACAGAAATCATATACCTATATAATAATAATGGATATATTACAAATACTTCTTTGGGCTAAAGACAATAAAATATAAAGCATAAATTACAATGTAGAAACGCCTAATGTTGTTTTGTTAAGATGTTAGGGTTAGGGTTATGAGGCAAACATTTGTGTGTTTGTGGCATTTCACAAGGAACATGATTTACTGTCTTCAAAACATGTTGGTTTCATAGCAACAGTTTATAGCCTTGCACATATTGCACAACATACTACATCCATCTATCTTCTAACCACTTATCTGGTCAGGGTCACAAGGGCCATGAACCCAACTCCTGTCTGCACAAGACACAAAGCTGGGGTACCCTGGGCAGGATGCCAGTTTATCACAGGACACAGATACACTATAAGTATGTAGACACCAGTTTCTCTAGTTCCTCATTCTGAAACCAAGGGAATTATTGTGAAGATTGTTGGCCCATTGTTGTTATAACAGCCTTCTACTCTTGGGAAAGCTTCCTCTCCGTTGCATTACATTACTGGTGTGATTTACTGCCATCCAGGTTGGTTATTGATGTTGATCAGGTCTTTTTCTGTCAGCTTGTTTGACCTACCACTTCACAACAGAACTTGCTCCCAGATGTTTTGACGTTCTCAGTCAGTTCTCAGTTCTCTATGAACTGACTTATTGGAAAGGTGTAATCCTATAATGGTGCCGCATCACTAAACTGCCCTTCTTCTGTTAATGTTTGAAACAGTGTAACTATGTGCTTCGTTATACACCCGTGTCAGCAATGGGTGTGGCTTAAGTTGGAAATTCCTCCACATACTTTTGGCCATACAGTGTGCACACACACTCTGGTAATTTAAAGATTCAAATCCCCAAACATCGACGTGTGAGGCAACAGTGCTACTGAATAAGGCACACAGCAAGCTCAAAACATACAAAAATACAGCTACTGTATTTGGTAATGAATTTATTGCAACTGTTACTGATATCTAACTACTACTGTCATCTAAAACACACAGACTTTTTGAATATTGTGATGTACAGTATCTCATACCCAGTAATTCAGATACATAGTTAAATGAATTAAATGTCAACAATGATTTTTCTTAAGTAAACTTTAAACATGAAGTGAACAAAATAATCATGCATGTAATTTCTCTCCACATAAAATTGGTCAGATGCTTGTGTTGTTGGGACCTAGTTAACTGGGAAAAGAAGTGTGCAGCAAAAAAATTCCTTGTTGCGGACACAACTTCCATCTGTTCTGTAATGTAAATGTGAGCTTTTAATGGCTGCCTTGATTAACCATGCAAGGCAGTAGTATGTCTCCAAAATGCAGACCAGAGGAAGACTAACAAGCCAAAGGTTGAGTGATATTTAATATTTCAGTCCCTTATGAAAAGAGCTAGATGACTTTAGCAGGCGTAATGTGGATCCACACACTCAGACTAAATGCTTATAGATGGTCACCATGCATTCTGCTGCCTGGGATCGAGAACATCGGCTCATTGTTAATCGTCAGAAGAAACCACTGACATATTTCCACCCTGAATCATGGCTGCCGTTCAGGTATCCCCCACCCAAGTCTCCGCTAACTCCCACTGCACGTAAAGGAAGTCCCATCTTTCATAGGCAAGTAAAAGTTGGCTGAACAGACAGTGCTGTTCTTACAATGCTCACACATTCCACTTAGACCTTGGCGCAGGAGTGATGTCATGTCTAAGGGCCTTAACTGCTTCCTGTACTGTATGTGACCCCCCACACTTAGGAAATAAGCATGAATGTAGCTCTGTGGGTGATTTTCAATGAAGTGCAATCAGTCATGAGATGAGCAGTAGGATGAGGCCAAATTAAACAGAAAAGCAAGCCTGTTCTTTCTGCTAAACTTGGTCAGAATTCCTTCTATTTTACTTTTCCACATGGAAGGGGAATTAATTAAGTAAATGAATTAGAAAATTATCTGCTTCATTCATGAAGGATTTTATGATTTGCTTATAACTTATGTCTAAAGTCCTTCCTTAATGTAATATACATATACCATTCTGTCCAGAACATGTTTGATTTCCAAGTATAAGATTGGGAATAACCCATTAAGACAAAGTTTAATTGTTTTAAGTGTGTGCTTTTTATAGACATATGCTCTTGAGTTAAAGGGCTGAGGTCTGCTTCTGATTTTAATTAAATAGCTGGAACAAACAGGAACAGGTTCAGGGCCAAAACCAATCACTCATTAACAGCAAGATAATAAATAAATAAACAAACAGACGAACAAATGAATAATAGGTAATATTGTACTGTATATTGTTTGTAAAAACAGGTAATGTTGTAACATTTTGAAGTTAAAGTGTCCCAACTGTTATACTCAGTGGTCAGTAATAACGGAGATAGATTCTAAAGTTGTCAGTGATATTGACATTTAAAGGACTTTTATGGCTTGATTTATTATTCTGAGTCATGGGAAATTTTTAGGGAATTTATAGGGGTCATTTATAAGGAGCGTGACAATTTCTCTGGCATGCACAGCCATTTCATTAAAGCGAACAGACCTTAATGAAAATGAGTTACTGGTACTCATTAAACATGGATATCAGGTTAATAGCTGTAAAAAAACATAGTGCTGTCTTTATTGAATTTCACTTTATTTATTTTTAGCCTAATTACATATTGATTTCCGTAAAAAAAAAATAAAGTGAAAAAGTGACAGATATGTTTCTTTTCCAATTTTTAAATTGTCATTTCTACAAAATGTCATTGTTAGTCTTGATGCCTTCAGTGATGGAGTTATAATTCCACCCTTTCTTTCGTTCTGGAGAGTTTGTGACTGTATCTGTGTCCTGCAAGGGACTGGTGTGCGCCCAGTCCTTCTGATATAGGCTCCAGGCTTTCCACTGTACTGCCAGAATAGTTGTTTTTTTTTAAATGTCCATTACCTTGACCTTTTCTAATACTGCACCCCTGATTCATTAGTTTGCAACATTATTAATCATGCAGTTAATACCACATATTGATTAGCATTTTGAATGTTGTGTTTTGTTGATGATAAATACATTATTTTAAAGATACTCTGGCTAATCATATAAAATACCCAGAAGGATTGTCACACAATGCAGGCTCTTGGGATTAGATTAAGCACAGTACCTCCCTTTATGCAGATACTAACATTTTTAATGTTACATTACTAAGGTCTTTCTAAGGGAATACTATGGTAGTTTGTTCATGTAGGGCAGAGAAAACTTTCAGTCCTTAGTACAGAACAAAGGTTTGTTCACTTTCATCTAAAATAATAACTTAAATGTATTCAATAAAAAATGCCACTTTAAAACATTAATTATAAAAGTCATCAAAATACACTGTTATGCTCTATGGTGTCATGAGTTCTTTGCCAGCAGTTATTTACTTAATGAACTGCGCAAGTGTTGAAATGACATCAGCCACCTGTCTTGTGTCACTCGGAGATTGCAAAAGAAGCCATAACTTATGTCATTTTTTTCCAAATCCAAAGCTGCAGAAGTTCGTAATGAAATAAAATGAAACCAAATCTGTAGAATCCCAAACAGAGGGTTGCACTATAACTATGATCAAAAGTGCTTCAGTTTACATTATCAGGGGCCCATTGACTTCTCTGGGGGCCCTAGACCAGCATGGCTCACAGTGACATTTGTGGAGTTGCTGGTGGATCAATTGGCCAGATTTTTAATTTATCTTGCTGGTACCTTTAACTATAGCCTAGGTTAACTGATGCATTAACCTGCCCCTTATTGTTTACTGTGGACAAATGAACATATTAAGACATTTGCCTGCTAGGTCTTTAATGATATTTGTTTAATGGGCTGGGTTGAACACTAATTTCCTAGTAGCTGTAGCTGTTGTGGTGCATAATGTCAGCCAGCTGTTCCTGAGATGTAGATGTTTCTGCTTAACACAAAATCCTTGACGTGACTGAAAAATTGAAATAAATCACTGTTGCACTTCACAAAATGTAAAAAAAGTTATTTTTTACATTACAATGTTTTTAATCTATCAGAGAAAATATTTTTTTCTATAAAAGTGATAACAGTAGCCTGTAAAATAATGCATTTGTTTTAACAGAATGACACCAATACATTTATCAGAGACTAAGGTTACTACTAATTCATACTTTAGTGGATGCTGTGTTTGATTATGATGAGTCAATTTCTTATGAAACAAATGCTTTGAAACAGATCCAAGTCCCTGACAGACCTAATACATGCACACCAGTGACCAAAACTGAGGAAACACTTAGCATTTTTGGCATTATGCTTTAAGAAATTACTACACAAATATTAGCAGTAATGTTTATAAACAATTAAAGAATGTTTACAAATATCATACACTGGACGATTAAATAAGTAACTGGAGAAACTGGAATAAAGTTCTGCAATTTCTAAAAACTGGACGCCTTTCCACAACTTTGGCCACTAGTGTAAAGCAGAGTCTGCATTCTGGTGTCTGTGACAGTCCGTCATGTATGGGCTCTCTCAGCTGAAATGAGATGCCCACCTTACAAGGCTTCAGATCACAGCACATACTTTCTCTCCCGATATATGAACCTGAGCACAACATGCTCTCAGCGCAGAGGCAACATGTTCAGTGAAAGAAACCATAGAAGTCAGACTCAGTCCACACACTCGCCTCTAAGTTCGAGAACATCTCAATGCCTAATTGCATCTCAATGCCTAATTGCATCTCAATGCCTAATTGCTTGCCTGAGAATGGAGGACCACTAAATACTACAGGATTGTTATAATCAGCCACACTGCCCACCATGAAAGATACTGAAGCAATCTCTGTCTGCCACATTTACAGCCAGCCCTGTATCTTAATTAAAACAGGATGATGAATGACTTGCAATTTATTATAAGGCATATCCTAATAAATAAGGAATATCCATATTTTATGCATCTATCCTGGAGCCCATCTGAGGGAACATAGGACACGAGGCTGGGGCTGAGCCTGGGTGTGATGGAGGTCCACCACAGAGACACACATAGTCAGACTCCACACACACACATACATATATATTCCATATAGTCCTGTCATTGTGGGGACTCCATTCATTTCTATGGGGAAAACTCTCATCCCAACATGAGGACCATAACCCAACCCAGCCCTAACCTTAACCATAAGTAACCAAACAAAATACACAACTTTTGGCATTTTTAGTTTTTTGATTGCATTTTTTATATTGAGTTTTTTGATGTTTTTTTTGGTCTCCAAAAGGTCAAAATGACAGATTTTTCTCATATTTTAGGGATATTTGGTCCCCACAATATAATATATAAATGACCACACACACACACATACAGAGCAATGATTATGAAATTGAATCCCAATTCCTGCCTACAAATTACTGTAAGTACCTTAATAAAAATACAATATGTATCCCGGCTGTTAAAAAATATATGCAGATATTTGTCCAAAGCAAGCAAGGGTTCCCAGGTATCTTGTAATGCACCCAACATAAGAGGCAAATGAAGAGAAATGTATCATATGCAAACATGCATAAAATATTAGTTATTGAAACACAGAACTTCTGTTTTTGAGGGTATTTCTAAATCTTCTGTAACTTTTCATTAAATATGTAGTTGAATGGAACATGAAATCATAAAAAGTTCACAAACTCATTTCAGCAGCTAATCTCCTCAATAACGGGAAGTCGTCAAATCTCATTGCCCCACAGAAAACACATGAATCAGCCCACGCTTTCCTTTTTATCACCCGTTGAGATAGCAAGTGTTAGAATTCTACAGCAACCAAAGCACACTTGAATTAAGACTCTAAGCACAATGCAGGGTTCAAAAGTTATTAAGGCTAAAGCTAGTCCCTTATAACTTTATTCTTACCTGTGACTAAATCTGTGACGTCTCAGAGATAAAGTTCACTCTTGACATATCTCTGTGTCTCCCCACACTGTGGACATTCCAGCAGGGAAACAAAATGCTAAAAGATGTCCCTGCCGCATGCTCAAAGCCTATAGAGCATTACATCATCAGCATGTCCTTATATGGAACGCTGGGTGCCGCCTCCTCTGGGTGTGTACTTGTGTGCGGGGAGGCCAGAGAGTGTGCGGGGAGGTCTGTAAAAGCACGCAGTCTGCTGGTTTGGAGTGTATATGATATGATACATAAACAGCACATTTGAAACATGGAAAGCTTGCACAACTTTGCACTTCCTTTGACGTCTGATGCCTGAAATACCTCATTATTACTCACTGGTTGATCTATGAATGTGCTGCATAACTCACACCCTTATGCACACAGTCTCTGCTGATCAATTATCTGTGAATGAAAACAGAGCTCCTTTGATGATCACATCATAAACCAGATATGCAAAGTGTCTGAGTTTCTGGAACACCATAGACGGACTATTGAGGTTGAGCATTCATGCACACCATGCTGACTATGATGACTAGTATTCACTGGTTGTTTCTGCTTCCAGATAGACAGCCAGAAGATCCGAGTACACTGAATACCCTCTCGCTATCGAGAAAGCCCAACATCAGATATTACCACATTGTAGTACAGCCAGCACAATACTATTAAAATTAGCTAAACTTCGGCAAGTTTAAAGCATATTTTAAATGCATATTTTTAATGCCAGTAGGCATTAAGAATCTTTATGGTAGTCAGATTATTTAATGCAGTACCAGTCAAAAGTTTGGACACGCAAAGCCGCCTACAAAGGAGACTGCTAGTGTCGTATCACGTGACTTGGCCACCTGACCTAAACACAGTAGAGATGATTTTGGAGAAGTTTGACCAGGGAATGAAGGAAAAGTGGCAAATGAGTGTTCAGCGTATTTGTGGGAACTCCTTTAGGACAGCCAGAAAAGCATCTCATGAAACTGTTATAGAGGAGAAAGTAGGGTAAATCAGATCCTGGAGCAATTGGGGTTAAGGACCTTGCTCAAAGGCCCAATGGTGGAATCACACTGCTTACACAGGGCTTTGAACCAGCAACCTTCTGAGTCTGAACCCACAGAATTTCCACTCCAACATATATATACAGGTATATGATGCTGAGTATATAAAGCAAGATGGCAGTGTGTAATTTTTCATTAGTATAGTTTTCTATTCCATTAAATAATAAACATACTTAACTAAATACATTATTTTCAGCTGAAATGGCAGATGACACCAGTATTACATAGTAATGCTATAGTACATATTTACTGATTCAGGGTGCTTCGAAAAAACTGATCAAAATTATACTCCTGCTTCAAACTCCACAGAGAGACCAGACCAGGTCCTTCATAAGTATGAATGACACACTGATTACTCACTGATAAGAAATCCTGCTGTGTACAAGTGAAGTTTGTGGTTCCATCAAAATTCCAGGGATGGATTTCTAAAGCTGAAGTAGACGCCCATGTGCTCAAGCTGATATAAATCGAGCAGGACCATCAGAAGTTCAAAGCTGGTCCATTAACTTGGAGAATCTTTACAGTTTCAAGGTGATACCTGAGCTTCCTGTGAAGTACCCAGCGTGGTAAAGGAAATGTATCCTTACAACAGACCAGCGGGAGCCATGCAAGCAGCTCCGTGCCTTGAACCAGAATACCTGACATGGATGATGTCATCGTGCTGTAAATCATACCCACAGTGCTATGTTTCCTTTGGGTGACATCACTACTGCAAACCACCCCCCCCCCCAACCCTCAATTACCCCCACCCCCAAGTTCTAAACACAAAATCAGACTGCCTGAGCAAACTGATAGCTTAACCAGAGAAATGTGCACTGATACACTGTTAAGAGAAAAGAAAGAATGAAAAAACACTGGTAAGAAAGGACGCCTTTCTTTTCCTTTTTATGATCGACAACCCTGGTTAAGTAGTTTCATTGTTTCTCTTCCCGTCATTTATCATTTTAATGACAATCGCTGGCAAACGACTAAGGCATGTGTTTGGTTTGGGAAGGGCAGCTGGGACACAGGGACCGTGCTCGGGTGGGAACCTCTAAAACAGCACTGCAGGCTCACAGGTAATGATTTCCCGGTTGATTTCCCTTCACTGAGAGACTCTGTCCAGCGCTGCTTTCTCAGATCTGCTCCTGTCAATCTCCTCACCAGCACCTCTTCTCATGTGATTCTGGCTTTCAGGAGAACAGGGCAAACATCTCATGGTTTTGCACGGCCCGTTCTTCAAGCTTATTCACTATGGGCTTCCTTCAAAATCCCATTTTCCTTTTTAAAAACACAATGTAAACCAGAATCAAAGATATTCATACATTTCTTGCAATATGCACATCCTATGTAGTGAAGTATATTGCAAATAAATACATTTTGTAAGACAGTAATATACAGTAATATACAACCAGGTATGTGTTAGTCTGCCTGAGAACAGTACCAGTCAAAAGTTTGGACACACCTACCCATAAAAAACTTTGTTTTACATTTTACACAGACAAAACCATTAAAACTAAAAATACCATATATGGAATTATGTACTGACATAATCTTGTTGTATTTTATTCTTTTGTCAGCTTAAAGTCATGTAAATTGTGTTTGTGGTCATAGACTCTGTCAAAACGTTCCTGAATATACAGGCAAACCATGAAACAAAGGAGCCAATTATGGGTTTTTAAGTTTTATAATGTTGTCTTTAATTCACATATTTTGTGGATTATTAGACCCTGTAGTTTTCTAAACTAAACCAGAGAGCCCAGAAGGTATGCTTTTAAGCCGAGATCCTGTGACTATCCTTTCCCGAATGTTTTGGTTAGCCTGAGCTCTTCTCCATGTTTCAGACCTGACTGATTCCTCCAAATGAGGAACATTAATCCAGGCCAGCTGCCGGACCACTGTCTCCTTCCTGTTTTGTGTCTCATTGATTGTCTCCTCCCAGTGAGGCCCGGCCCAGAGGGTCACTGTTTCCTGTCGGATCAAGGCTGCCCATCGGAACGGCTTTGAGGGAATGATGGACACATTCCAAGCTGGGTGTATTTGGCTCACTTCCAAGATTTCTCTTACGTAAAAGTTACTCTCAGCTCCAAGGACTAAGTTAAGGATCAGCGTGAGAGACAAGCTGTTTCACTCAAAATAGATTTTCCTCAACTATACCTAAATTATATCTGTCATATAAGTATAGCCATATATAAGAATTCATTAAGAGAGATATGTTGTTTCTCACTGGTGTAACTGGACATCAATGGTTCATTTTATGAAAAAGCTTAGGTCGTTCATTTAAACAAGTACACTGTATATCTCCATGGATATTTAATTGGCACAGTACTGTATGTACAAGTCATCATATTACTATCTTCAC